ACAAAGTCACATTATCAAACAGCGCGTCGTCCTCGCAGTCCAACTTTAAAGTTACCAAAATACAATTCGTACGTGCTGTTGAATAAATAAAGCTGTAAATGTATCAAAATATCTCGCATCATCTTATAAATAAATCCCTGAATATGTGTAATCTACAGTGACTTAAGTGTACAACAAGAAAAACAAAAACTACAAATCCCAGTTTTACTTGGGTTTATATTGATCCTCCTCTGTATAAATCCATTAATAGATAAAACCTGGATTCGTCCTTGAACCATAGGCCCAGAAATTGCCTGTAGGTACCAGCCAGGGTGGCAAATTCTAACAATAATTTTCTTCAAGCATTTTATCTCCAGATCACAGCTATGTACGATAGCAAGGTGCCCATAGTAGCCTCTGATGAGAAAAGAAATGTAAAAGAACATGGCCATTACATGATTATCATAGAATTATATTTTGTGGGGGGGGGGGGGGGGGGGGAGATAACATATGAAACATTTACGGAATAAGAAAAACAGAAAATAGGTCTCTAAACAGTACATACACTAAGATGTATACCCATGGTGGGCATTGCTTCTGGTGGGTACTGGTAGAATTTGCCACCCCAAGTGGTACTCCGAAAAAGCCTTTGGGCTCACTGGGCTACAGGGGCAATGAGCGTGGCTGCACAATGCACATTCAGAAACAACCAACTTTCGCACGATTTCACCGTTCCCAAAAAAGTGCAAATGTAGTTACATATCAGGTAATGGCTCGTAACGGGAAAACCTGCAAGCATTCGACAGATTGCATGCAAAATACTTACGGCACAGGCACAGAAACACTGCATATATATAACCAGACAGCAGGGACCAAGAAAATATCTGTAACATTGTTCAAACTTGGCATTTTTCAAAGTGGTGGGATTAAAACCTGAGTTGCAAAACTTCCGTGGCAACATCGCATTCCCATTTTGGAACGTCTGTGATGTTTTTCGTAAAATATGCATGATTACCGGATGACTACAGACTCAATCTGCTGCAAGAAGCTGCCTTTTTCAAAAGATTGTCAGTGTAAGGTTATTTTTTTCCATTGCTAAATACATATATGAATACTCTTCATTTTAAAAACATAGTCAAATTTGTTGTTATTTATTGCAAGAAATGCAGCAGAAACCTCGACAATTGATGAATATTAAGTCTAAAATGTGACAAACATATATCTTTACATCTCAACTCAAAAATTGTAACCACCAAACAATGCCTATGCCATCCATAAAGATTTGACAATTTAGATTAAAATTAAAAACATTTATCGCTCAAAATACGTACGTTGAATTGTGCACGACAATTTTTGATCCATCCATGTTCACATTTCTCCACCACTACAGATTTACACCACGATGGATTACACATGCACCGCAATGGATATACGAATTGATTGTAAGTTGAATCATGACACTCAAATAACAACAACATCAGAGTTCTCAAGGGGCAGACTGTTAACTCTTTTACGGCTATTTGCCAATCAACATCTGGGGATAGTGAAGTGGGGGTCAAGGGTCGGATCGATGTTAGCTGTGTTCGGGAATCCAACTCAGGACGCCGGGTTCACAGGGCAGTAAACTAACCGCTACGCCAACGCTCCACCCACACATCCTTAAGACGACACATTTCACAGGGGGGCAGCATTACGAATTACTTGTCAAGAGTGTAAGCGATGCTCTAAATTGGAATTAACCGTTGTGAGCCGTGAACACTGCCAATCAAGCCCCAGGGCAAGTGTTGGCATTTGCAACAACAACAAAACACAGTGTGGCATGGATTACTCCTGGAGCTATGGCGCTTCTGATTTAAGGGCTGTGCTTGATCAACATCATTTAGTGCATGTTCACATATGTCCAAAGCAGTTGCTGAAGCAAGAAAAAATAATCTGTTATTCAAGGCGAATAGGCATCCCTTATTAAAGGTTGCCACTTGTGATACCTGTTCCATGTGTACGAATTTTTTGTCCTCCTTTATGGTCATCATGGAGTGCAAAATTATCACGAGATTTAAAAAAGTAAATGCTATAAAGCACCGCTCATTACCATGTCAGTAAGCATTTTACCAGACTGACATGTAATACAACATCATTTTGTAAATGGTCCTGCATAAAACACTGCAATTACCACCATTTTCCATTAGATTCTACAACACACTCCTCGCAGCTTGCCTGTAACATTTCGAAAAAATGGGTTCAGTGACACCGCATTACCACGCAATGAAAGATGCGTCCAATTTAAAATGGAACATGACAGATTCGAGAGTAGCTCAGAGAACAAACTTGATTCCTCATGCAGGAGCCCATCACTCTCACACGTTATTAATTTCATGTCCATACAGAAGGGCCACGTGTGCGCTCCAATGCGATTGCCCAAAGTGGCGATTAAGAAAAAAAACATTGCTCACTTGGCACTCAAAACCACCCCAACTATGTCCAATTAAAATGACGCATTAACATATTGTACTGTTCAAGCCCTACTTAAAGCGATCATTTAATGCTTATCGAGGATAAGTGTCAAAACCATCACTTTGTTCAAACTTTACCCGACCCATTGTTTTTCATGGGGATTATAAGTCGGTTTAAGTTTTGCCTCCCATTTTTTTCACTCCTTGGAATAAAAAAAAGGGAGAAACATTATCCTTTCACTGTAAAATATGCACAGCGATCCGACACACACCGTCGTCACATACGATCGCTCACCGTGCACTCGGAAAGGCGGCTTGCGGTGAATATCTCTCACTTGGAGGACTGCTATGAAATCTTTGACGGTGCAGATTATTTGACAGACAAGAATCCTGCAGTCACCACGTAAATCAATTGTGCCAGTCTCTTTCAATTTCGTATTTATGCACCGATTACCGTGTTTTTTTTTTTCTCATGCTGTGCTCCGCAGACACACGCTGATGATGCAAGGCCATGCTCGCACATCGGCACACAACAAAGACCACCTCTTGGTCCATTACGATCAAGTTTGTGCGTAAAATGCCCACTGGATAATTTTCCAGATGTGACAACATACGTAAGATTAAATTGCATCAAATTATTACATAGGTTGCCACTAGATCATCTTCTTGGTTCTTTCGGTAAAGTCACGTAGAAGGGAAGTAATAAAATAATAAAAATAAAACATAATAAAACAATTCTCACGACGTTTCGGCCACAACGCAAGCAGCCGTCCTCAGGTGAAAACCAGGTCCGTCGAGGCGACAGTCTGAATGAAACAGCACACGAGCTTGGAGCATATATATAAGCTGGGCGCATTGACAAAGGAATTTGCATATCAAAAGGAATTTAGCATATTTATGGGAAATGCAGGAATGTGATTAGTACTGCATATGCATGTGCATTATGCAGGATTAACAGTATCAAAGGGAGCTGCAGTTACTGCTGCTGCAGCAGTTGCTGCTGCTGCTGCAGTTTCTGCTGCTGCTGCAGTTGCTGCTGCTGCTGCACTTGCTGCTGCTGCACTTGCTGCTGCTGCTGCACTTGCTGCTGCTGCTGCTGCTGCTGCAGTTGCTGCCTTATCCATTTTAATATAACACTATGTATTATTCTACCCACCCTAATGTGTATCATACTGCTATATGTTTACTGTACAATTACGACACCATACATTACTCTGCACACTGCACCATGCCAGTGAGTGGAACGTGGTCTGAAAGTCACCGTAAACGTGAACACAATCAGTTAAGATCCGAAATGGTTTATTACGTCCTTCCAATGATTGCTAAGCCAGAATCCATCTTCTCGGTTGAAATTGTCTCTGTGTTTGTATATGTGGATCGCCTCATGGACGAATCTCTCATGATAGCCAGATGGCTTGCAGAGAACCTCTGTCTTGGAGAAGTCAATGTCATGTGAGCCCACTGAATTGTAACAGTGATCTGCCACGGCTGAGGTGTTTGTCCTACCGTGTTTCAGGTCTGCCTTATGTTCTGTATGTCTGGAACCACATCTTTTACAGACGTCTGTAAAAGATGTGGTTCCAGACATACAGTACCCTGGCGTCTACAAACTAAGTTGCCTCTGTGGTAGCAGTTACATTGGAGAAACCAAACGACATGTCTCGGACCGCATCCGTGAACATAAGGCAGACCTGAAACACGGTAGGACAAACACCTCAGCCGTGGCAGATCACTGTTACAATTCAGTGGGCTCACATGACATTGACTTCTCCAAGACAGAGGTTCTCTGCAAGCCATCTGGCTATCATGAGAGATTCGTTCATGAGGCGATCCACATATACAAACACAGAGACAATTTCAACCGAGAAGATGGATTCTGGCTTAGCAATCATTGGAAGGACGTAATAAACCATTTTGGATCTTAACTGATTGTGTTCACGTTTACGGTGACTTTCAGACCACGTTCCACTCACTGGCATGGTGCAGTGTGCAGAGTAATGTATGGTGTCGTAATTGTACAGTAAACATATAGCAGTATGATACACATTAGGGTGGGTAGAATAATACATAGTGTTATATTAAAATGGATAAGGCAGCAACTGCAGCAGCAGCAGCAAGTGCAGCAGCAGCAGCAAGTGCAGCAGCAGCAGCAAGTGCAGCAGCAGCAGCAAGTGCAGCAGCAGCAGCAAGTGCAGCAGCAGCAGCAACTGCAGCAGCAGCAGAAACTGCAGCAGCAGCAGAAACTGCAGCAGCAGCAGCAGCAGAAACTGCAGCAGCAGCAGCAACTGCAGCTCCCTTTGATGCTGTTAATCCTGCATAATGCACATGCATATGCAGTACTAATCACATTCCTGCATTTCCCATAAATATGCTAAATTCCTTTTGATATGCAAATTCCTTTGTCAATGCGCCCAGCTTATATATATGCTCCAAGCTCGTGTGGTGTTTCATTCAGACTCTGTCGCCTCGACGGACCTGGTTTTCACCTGAGGACGGCTGCTTGCGTTGTGGCCGAAACGTCGTGAGAATTGTTTTATTATGTTTTATTTTTATTATTTTATTACTTCCCTTCTACGTGACTTTACCGAAAGAACCAAGAAGATGAATCCCTGCAGTCACGAAAGCTTTAAATCGAAATTGCCACTAGATATTGCATATAATTTATAGGTTAGTTTTCTCTGCTCGTGGAAACAGCACAAACGATTGAAACAATGTTCTTCTTGCAAATCACAGAGGAAACGACGGCATATAGCAATTACCCATCGTTTTCAAACATTGGTAAAGATATAGACCTGTCCGTACAGCCAAATACACTGTTGCCATAAGTGCTGTTAGTGAACAGAGGCCGGCAGGGCGCACAAGGGCTTGGTGGGGCTAGCAACCACGCCTGGCCGCCTGTCTCCCGCATTGCTGATGTTCACACACCGCAGGAGGTATTCACTTATGGCCAAGTCGACCTTGGGGAGGTGCAGGAGGTTTCAGATATCCTTAAGTTATGTTAGACATCAGCAGCGAATTGAACTCGGGTTGTCAGGTGAGTAGTGCAGCGTGCTAAAACACTACGCCGCTGCTCCCTGCAACACACATACAACACACACGCACAACTTCTATGGGGAAATTACCACCCCCAGCCAATAACCTTCGAGCAGACTTGCACAGCGAGACCGTCTCAAAAGGGAGGCGCAAGCGCCGATCGGCATCACTTGTCGGTGACGAGCAGCAGGGTGTGCTGCCCCCCGCTGGAGGCGGCCAGCACGTGCCGCTTCTCCAGCTGCTTGCCGGTGACCTGCACGGGGCTCCACTCGTCCTCGTCCTCGCCCGTGCCCAGCTGGCAGTTCGTGCCCATGCCCCAGGAAAAGGCACGTCCTGGAAAGCGTCGTTCGTGCCGCCGTTAGGTCTGGTGTAACGCGTTTTGTTTTCTATGCAGGTGTGAGCTCCTTCTTTGCTACGGTCAAGACGTTGTTACTGTCAAAACAAAGTTACATGCGACTGAACGTGTCGTCGTCGTCATCATCATAAGCCATCATCAATGCACTGCTGGATAAAGCCCTCCCCACTAAGCCACCGCCACCACCATCTCAAGTTTCTGCGATGTAACAATCCACCTTGCACCTAAACACGAGCTGATCTCATCGCTTCATCTCCTCGGCGGATATCTCATGAGACGCATTCCATTCCTTGCTGGCCACTGCCATTATTCTCGACAATCATCCATCATCTTTGATAACAATAACATGTTCTGCCCAAGCCCACTGATTTTTCTTAAAGAGTTTTAATGATGTAATTCATTCGTGTAAGTCCCATAATCAATGTTCCTCTTTCTCTCTCAGTGTAATTCCAAGTATGAATGTAACCACGGTTCTTTGTGCACATTTCCATTTTGACATTCCATTTTTATTTGTTAATAAGCGTGTTTCTGAACCATGTCACAGCAGACTGTGCACACTGATTAAAACTGATCTTTTCAAGACACACCGCTACGTTAATGTTCATTATCAAGTTCCGCTTTCCAAGAAACCTCCACGCTATTATATTTGCCCTAAATTGTCCTGCATTGCCATGCGCATATCACAACATTAACACATACAATTTGAAGTAATTTGTGGTGTAAATCCAACAACAACAATTCCCGACACCTGTAACTTAAGGCTCATCTTCCCGAACACAACACGAAGACCACCTCTGCAACAACGACTGGGTGGCACACGCGGAGAATGCTGTGTCATTACCGTCTTTGGTAACGGCGTAACTGACGCTGGCGCCACAAGCTATGGAGTTGATGTGCGAGGGAGTGGGCACCAGCGTGGGCATCGCCACGTCACGTGCCCCTTTGCCCAGTCCCAGGCGCCCATAGTCGGCACGGCCCAGGCTGTACACCTTGCCTGAGAGCACGGCGAGAGACGGGAGGCTTCACCACACCCGGCGTTTGGTCTAACGCTGCCGTGGTGTAACAATTAGCCGCACACTTGACTTGCAATCCAGAGATCGCCGGTTCAATTCCATCTCACAACGCAGCAGTTGAAACAATGATGGCAATGTTTCTTTGAACGGGTTCACCGCGGGTCGCTGATCGGCTGTGCCTAGCAAGTGTGAAAGAGTAGGCCAAATACTCTCTATAGGGACCCTCTAGAGCCATCTGGAAGAGACACTTCCATATTTTTGTCTTTTTTTATCTTGTCCCACAATTTTTATCTTGATCGTGCTATCAGCATTGTGTCATGGGATTCATTCTACAGCGCAATCTTTCGTGTTAGAAATTAAATGCTGGAACATTACTAAATGTCGTTGTGAGAATTGTTCATCTTTACCAGTGGGGTGACACGATAATAATTATCGGAGCGTTAAACACTTATACACGTGACATTTGTATTTGTTTGGCTGTGTATGTTTTACAAATAAAAAAGTGGCCAGATCCTAACTTGGCCTACCCCAAAACAAAATGATGCGTGGCCAAACTTTGCACGGCCATGTGAGCATGCTTACCTCCAGAGTCGAGGCAGAGAGAATGGTGCTGGCCGCCACAAAGCTCCAACCACGTCTTGGAGTTCTCAAAGGAAGTGAGGAGGTTGGGCACAAATGCAGAGTCTGGCTTGGCTGTTCCTAGAAAGCAAATGCAATGTAATGACGCAAGCGTGGTGCGGCAGGACACGTTGCTGGGAGGGATGATGGCCGGGGTTCGAGACGACCGGCGGAGTGGCAGCCAAGAAGATAGGATGCCCTTAAGAAAAGCCATTGGCTGAAACATCCCTTATAATCTTATTTTTCTTCTATGGCAGCGTTATTTACACGTGTTGAGTTTTTAATTTATCCACTCAGTTGCACAGGTAGATATAACAAAAATTTACGGTATGCAGATATTGGAAGTACGGTATATTTTAAGGCATTTCCAACAGGGGCGGGGGGGGCACGCGAGTGTTTGTTCTCTCTCGTCCGTTTGCGACTCACCCAGCTGGTGGTAGTTTGAGAGGCCGAAGCCATAGAGGCTGCCATCTGTGCTGAGCGCGAAGGTGAAGTACGAGCCACAAAACACGTCCAGGAACTCAACGTGGCTGTGCCCCCTCCTGGCTTTGACGCGCACCTGCTGTGGCACCAGCAGACGCACTGCACGCGTGACATAGCGGTGTTGATTTTGTGAGGTAGAAGTTAGTGATGAAAATATTCATCAATGAGGTGTTTCTATTTTATTTGAGTCGACGACGACTGTTGAGTTTGACAAATCATCAAGCGTGACGATGACGATGCCGATCCACCAAAAACCAAAGTGTGACTATTTTGAGATTAATTTAACGAGTCTGAATGAAGATGCGGGCTAAGATAGGTTGGTAGTACAGGTAGGAACAACAGGTTCCACACTGCCCACCAGGGATTATCTGTCTGTCTGTCGTGCATACTACAACCTCCAACACGACTACGGTATCCAACACGGATCGCACGAATGCGCTGTCCAACCAAGTTCCTACCTGCCCACTCCGAAGGAACGTGCTGTTAATAGAGACCGCAGTAGTAGAGGCAGACCAAACATTTTAATTGGTCACACACAGTGTGCATATAAAAATATTCATTCAGTCACAAATTGTCTGACCTGATAACATTGGGATGGGTGAAAAATTCCATGCCCCTCACACCACCATGTAATAACTAAGCGCTTTGCTAACGTTGACTGCTTTCCTCGACTCAGAGAATGACTACTTGAAAATCCACAGACTAAGACTTTAACTAAAATTGACTATGACTAAAGTAAAACGTTTGGACGAAAGTGACACTGACCATAAGAAGAGCAATCACAGCAGATGCGGCCAGATCATCAACTAAAGGTTGGCTTATCACGAATCTTGGGTTTGTATACGCTTCGATGACTAAAACGTTGAACGTATTATCGCATGGGTGAACTTTAGCTGGTGGCTTACGGAGTCCTCTCCTGCCACCACGGTTGGCGAACATTTCCGCGACCCTTCCCAGCTGGCCTTGATCCCCGCAGCCCAGGGTGTAAACCTGTCTGCTCTCGCTCAGCAGCACTAGGTGATCGTTCCCTGCACAAACAACACCACGATAATACAGTTACCAATGGACGATGTGCCATTATCAAGGAACTATGTTCGTACACATTGCGAGCTACAGATTAATATATTGTACATTTCACACTTAACGCGTAGGTTTCGCGAACGATATAATCCACAGGTTTTCTTGGGTTAGATCCAACACACAGGTGTGCTGTACTAGTGACGAATTGGCCACGTTCTGTTTACGTGACAACCCTTACTAGTTGGCTGTTGGGTGGTGGCAGGTTTTAACGACACATGTTATATTTACGCGATCTAATCCATAAAACCTCTATTATGGATTTCAGAAACTGCTCCTCATTATCATATCAGGGGATGTCCTGGAAAAATGTGATAACCAATAACCGTTTAATATCTGGTAGAAAGGGTTATTAGCATAAGTGGTTGGATAATGTTTATGAAGTGAAGTTAATTGTACAGCTGTCTGTGGGGGATATGATGCAATGAAACAGTCAGAAGTTGATGTGAGGTTTCAATCAAGTCAGGATTAAATGTCTTGGAAAAATGTACGTGATTACGTTTTCCCAGGAAACCCCTAGTATGTGAGGCCGTAACAGAGTTCAGTGATGCAGCAAGATTATCATACGCCGAAAAAGCCACTTAAGTTTCGATGAGCCCATGCAAATAACGATGACCGGTACGAGTACATTGCACGAACCAGAGGCCACCTTCACTATGCGGGTGTCAAGGGTGAGCTTGGTGGGCAGGGGACATTTCATCATGGGCTCCAGCAGTCCAATAATGCCGTTGTTGTCCTGCAACACAACAATATATACTTATGCTTCTTTTGTACGGCGTTTGAAACATTACAAAAGGCTACGATTGTGTCTTTAATTTTGTAAAGCCATTCCACAGCATCCGGGGTGGCTGAGTGGAGGCCACTTGTACAACCAGAATAGGTGTATTGTTTTTGGGGCAGCAATTTGGCGAGTCCTGCATTTAAATACATTTCTGTTGTTTACATTGTCGAATGACATAAAATACCAAAATAACCAATGCGGTTTTTTTCCTGTCAAAAGCAGAATTTGGGGAAGCTCTGGGCCTCAAGGCCATATCTACCCAACAGTGAGTGATATATGAAACAGAAGTGCGTCTCCTACCACTTCAACAACTTGCACTGACCAGGATGGTGAAGTATGGTCAAACAACCTCCATGACTGACATGGTAATTGAGAGATCTTCAACTGTCAGCAAATTTACGAAAAAGCAGTAGTTATAAAATAATTGAGGTAAAATCTTGCAAAACACATGGAATTATGTAACAGTTTCATACTAATTATTACTCATAACGTGCTGGCACGGAATGCGCTCGCTCTCAAAGAGAGGGAACGCCTTAGAGGCACGAGGAACCACAGGCCAGCAGGAAAGGCATACATGTGGTGAGCTGGCGCCAAATTCCAACCCGAGCTCTGTGGTCCTCTATATATGAAGGTGTTTTCGGCCGACCAAATCACCCGAAGAAAAGTCACATGTGCAAGAGTGCAACACTCTATACCATACAGATTGAACAGGTGGAGTCCACATTTGCTGTATTGCCTTTTCCTGTTAAGTCAGGGTATGGCACCTCGATGCTCACGGAATGGGCGTTTTTCGCAGCATTTATGTGATCCACAAAACCTCACCTGAACAGTGGTGGATTGCAGGTGTGCACCACCACTACCCCACTACTATTGAATGACCAGTCTGGAAACCGACAGCTAGCTGTCTTGACAAAATTTTTTGCATAAAGTATTTGCAAATGATTTTGCAATAGTTTGTGTCACCCAAGTTTCTGGCAACAATTGTATCAATTTGATCAGTTTTCATGAGAGTAATTCCATAATAGCAACATCTTACACTATGGTCCCAATCTTAGTTGATAATTTTTGCCAGTCATTGTGCCACAATGTTACGGACCGATGGACAGACGGCCAGTGCTGATGTGTAAATGCGTTCACAGCAAGGCGACGGTTTTGTTTTGGCGAGCATGTGAACCTTTTGTTGTGAATTCGCTTTACTAACCTGCCCGTAAGGGACTTAAGTTGGAGTAATGTTTGCAGCAACCCCGTTTGTATATTTGGATCGTAGTTGAAAGCGTTACGTTTTTAAGTGAGCAAAATGACATTGGAACGATTTCTATCTCACTCGGAAGGTCCCCCACAAATAGACGGATCCAAACTCGGTGAGGACGGCCGTGTGGCTATCCCCAGCCGACACCTGCACCGCGAGCTCCGGCAGCGTCACTGTGCCAGGCATGGCCTCTTCTACATCCTCCACCGTATTTCGGCCCAGCGCTCCCTCGTCATTGCAGCCAAACGTGTACACCTGGCAAGGGAACGCGGGGGGGGGGGGGGGGGTGATCGGTAGCAAAAACGTTGGAGAAAAAGTGACGGCAAGGACGTTTTTGTTCAAATTCTTTGATGCTTTAGAGCTGGACTATCCAGCTATTTGGTGATGTGGTGTAAGTTCAAGTTTGGCACACCTGTGCAGAATATCAGTTGTTGAAGTTGTGGTGATTGCGACTAGCGCTATGTGTTATCCAATTATTTAAGTAGATTAGCTTGCAGCACCGGCCTACAAGTGGGCAACTGTCTGCCAACAGCAGGGCAATGCTGCGATTGATTTTCCCAATTAAGTAATTCTCAAGTAATAATTCAAATTTGGCGAATTTGGACTGAGACGTCACAGATTCTGTGACATCCACTGCGAAGCATGCGGCACGTAATTATGGTTAATAATACACCAGCATTACCAACCAGGACGGCCGCAGGGCTTATAATGCAAATCTCTGTCACAATCGCGCTAGCGCTGGGCCATGTCACCGATCCCAGCGGAGGCCAAGTGGCTGCTTACCTTACCGCTCTTGCCCAGGCACACGGAATGCATACCCCCGGCCACGGCCTGCAGCACAGGCTCGGGCATGTGTACCAGGGCTGGTCTCTTGCGCTCCATGACGTTCGGGCCTAATCCCAGCTGACCCACGTCGCCCTGTCCAATTGCCAGCACGGCGCCGGGTTTACCCCGGTGTGACGGGTGAGTGACTACAGAGGGGCACAGACAGAAGCAATGTAAGGAAAAAGCAGTTGAGTGTTGCGTGCGTTGTGTGCAAATGCTATGCTGTGTATTGTCAATCACACTCGTCGCAGTCATCATCAGCCACTGTGTATCCATTGCTGGATTAAATTATCATCATTTAATATTCATACCACTCCTCTCTTGCAGTAAAGTGTCCATCATGGTTGGTGCTGGGATGCCACGATCCATCTCACACATGCAAATTTACTCATGTAATCTCTCCATTTCTGTTGTGGTTGTCTTCTCAAGTGCATCATCTACTTTGACTATTTTTCTGTCAATAGTCTCATACATTGTCCTGCCCAAAGCTCACAAGCTATTCTATAAAGTCAGCATATTTCTCAGGTGTATTGGTTCGCCAATGTATAGATGCAATGTATAGATGCATGTTAAACTTATTTTGCACCGTACGTAGCCAACTGTGCTAATCGAAGGTGTGGGGGAAGAACTAAACACAAAAAGCACGTGCCCTTCTTACTATCTCTCAATATCATTATGAGCATGTACATTAGGGCTGAACGATTTGGGGAAAATATATAATTGCTATTTTTCTGACATATTGCGATTTGATTTGCGATTACATTTTTTAAGTCAAGCTTCAATTCAATATTCACTGTGTAATAGATTGAAAACATGTGATGGAGCATTACCACATGATACCATCAAAATATGAACTGCTCTTTATATTCTAATGCAAGGATGAGAACTTAAAAAATATGAATTACTTCCAACATGTATTTATTAAAACATTTTAATTAAAATAGAACAATCAAACGTAGAACAATTGTTAAGTTAAATAAATAAAGTTACGATAATAAAAAATAAAACAATTTGCATAAAGTAATAGGACTTTTCAAATCGCAAAAAAATCACAGCCTTTGCGATTTGCTAATCGCATTGTTTCAAATTGCGATTTAGATTTGAAATCGATTAATCGTCCAGCCCTAATGTACATCTCTGTAACCAGAACACCAGGAGAAAACCAGAAGTCAACACTCTGCAATCGACTACAATGGCGAGTGAGCAGTCTAAATGCTGTAAACTACCACATCTGGAAAACTACTCAAATCACATCTGCCTACCTGCCATATCTATCGTTTGATACGTCAATTGTAAAATTAAGTAGGTTCATAGGCATTTTAGTCCGTGAACCTACTTCAGAATAACAAAAAATCATTTTGACAGCTCGCTGCTACGTGAAACAATCGAGGACATCACCTTTCGCCTTCGTGGTCATTGAAGATGACTCCTTGTCGTTGTTCACGGACACAGCAGAATGCTTCGGGGGCCTCCCTCGCTTGCCCGGCATTGTCGGCTCTTCTGCAGGTGTGAGAGGGCAGGTTGAGGAGAGATACTGACCCAGGTGAGGAGGGAAGAACCAGGTGATGACGGGGCACTGACTCTCTAATCGACTACAATGGAAACACAAGCAGTCAAAAATGCAAACATTTGAGTTGTACGCCTTTTGGCGTCATCTGGTCCAACACCAGTGGAGACGAGGCTCTAAGAAAAGCCGTCTCGGGTGTGGACCAATCAATTTCAAGGACACTGCATACCATTATCAGAGTTGTCTCTTTTTGTTTGCATTTTTGACTGCTTGTGTTGTGGTTATTGCAAACATGATCCCTTGTATACAGGTGTCAGTTTTGGTGCCAGATAAAAGGATAAAAACCTATCACTATATCTTGCTACTGAATAAAAGGTCTCATAACGTAAATACAATGGCAAGTTAGCAGTCTAAATGCTGTAAACTACCGCATCTGGAAAACTACACAATCACATCTGCCTATCTGCCATACCCATCGTTTGATACGTCAACTCATAGGCATTTTAGTGCGTGAACCTACTTTAGAATAACAAGAAATAATTTTGACAGCTCGCTGCTACGTGAAACAGTCGAGGACATCACCTTTCACCTTCATGGTCACTGAAGACGACTCCTTGTCGTTGCTCACGGACACAGCAGAACGCTTCGGGGGCCTCCCTCGCTTGCCCGGCATCGTCGTCTCTCCTGCAGGTGTGAGAGGGCGGGTTGAGGAGAGATACTGACCCAGGTGAGGATGGGGGGGGAGCCAGGTGAGGGGGGGGGACCCAAGTGAGGGGGGGGTCCAGGTGAGGGGGGACCCAGGTGAGGGGGGACCCAGGTGAGGGGGGGGGACCCAAGTGAGGGGGGGGTCCAGGTGAGGGGGGACCCAGGTGAGGGGGGGCCCAGGTGAGGGGGGGCCCAGGTGAGGGGGGCCCAGGTGAGGGGGGGGCCCAGGTGAGGGGGGGGGCAGGTGAGGGGGGGGGACCCAGGTGAGGGTGGGGGGGCCCAGGTGAGGATGGGGGAGACCCAGGTGAGGGGGGGGCAGGTGAGGGGGGGGACCCAGGTGAGGGGGGGGGCAGGTGAGGGGGGGGGACCCAGGTGAGGGGGGGGGACCCAGGTGAGGGGGGAGACCCAGGTGAGGATGGGGGGAGACCCAGGTGAGGGGGGGGACCCAGGTGAGGGGGGGCCCAGGTGAGGGGGGGGACCCAGGTGAGGGGGGGGACCTAGGTGAGGGGGGGCCCAGGTGAGGGGGGGGACCCAGGTGAGGGGGGGCCCAGGTGAGGGGGGGGACCCAGGTGAGGGGGGGGACCTAGGTGAGGGGGGACCCAGGTGAGGGGGGGGACCCAGGTGAGGGGGGGGACCTAGGTGAGGGGGGACCCAGGTGAGGGGGGGGACCCAGGTGAGGGGGGGCCCAGGTGAGGGGGGGGACCCAGGTGAGGGGGGGGGACCTAGGTGAGGATGGGGGGGACCCAGGTGAGGATGGGGGGGGACCCAGGTGAGGGGGGACCCAGGTGAGGGGGGGGGGACCCAGGTGAGGGGGGGGGACCCAGGTGAGGATGGGGGGGGACCCAGGTGAGGGGGGGGGGCCCAGGTGAGGGGGGGGGCCCAGGTGAGGAAGTTGAGACCTTGGGTGCAGGTGATGAGTTTTTTTCCCCGTCGCGATATTTGCAACAAACGATGGCCGCCTCACACACTCATACAGCAGCGATACCGGTTAAAACTTTTATTGTAAAAAACCATAAATAACATAAAAGTTGGGTTAACAAATCTCCAACATCGACAGCTTCCGAGTCGCGGGAAAATAAAAAAAAAGTCGAGAAAGTCCCTCAAAGTGGCAACTTTAAAAACCGTTAAGTCGCGTCCGCCCAAGCGCGGCAATACCGACAACGCTATTAAGAGTAACAATAACACTGCACTTAATTAAGATTAAAAACATAAACTCAGCAGAAGTAAAGGATCGTCGGTGGCTATTGCCGAAGCGACGTCTTTTGTACAGTGCGGCCGCGACCTCTCGCCCCGCGACCCGGACGTGAGAGAGGCGGCCATGGTGGTGACGACGACCACAAATATCATCATCATCATCAAACACCACATTTACTCATAAAACAATTAACAATCAAACACAAAGTCACATTCACGTGTGTTTCTTTGTTCATACGTTTAAAATTAATTTTTATAAAAAAAAAATTGTGCCAATGTAAAGTGCGTCACTTCCGGCGGAAGAGGCGCGGCCTCCTTCCTCCTCTTCCATTGTCGTCAATCCCTGGGCCACGATGTCGGACCGCTACAACATCCACAGCCAACTCGAGCATCTGCAGTCAAAGTACATCGGCACGGGCCACGCCGACACGACGCGCTACGAGTGGCTGGTCAACCAGCACCGCGACAGCTACTCGTCCTACATGGGCCACTTCGACCTGCTCAACTACTTCGCCATCGCCGAGAACGAGAGCAAGGCCCGCGTCCGCTTCAACCTCATGGAGAAGATGTTGCAGCCATGCGGCCCGCCGCCCTACAAGCCCGAGGACGCGCTCTGAGAGAGCCACGCAGCACCCCCACCACCCATCGCCGCCTCGTTCGCTCACTACCCCGGCGGCCACCCACCCGAACCGGACGTCAACCGAACACCGAACTGGACACCGACCCCCAGCCGGACACCGACCCCCAGCTGGACACCAACCGGACACCGACCGAACTGAGGGCGCCACAATGCACGTGTTCGCTACGATGCCGCGCCTCTCGTGTTGGATGGGAAATGGTGATGATGGGTCTCGGAGGATGGCAAGAATTTGGGGTGGATGAAGATAATGGGGCGGCGAAGGTTTGGGTGGAAGATGGGCTGGCTGTGACCGGGTGTGGCGAATGGAGACACGGTTACGGATGGACTGGCTGCTGCTGCTGGATAGAAAACATCGAGTGGATAAGGGAAGGATTGGGTGGGGACTGGAGACATCGGGAGGGGTGGAAGAGTTGTTGTAGAGTGGGTAGATCTGACTGGGCCGGGGGTGGTGATATTGTCCATGTGGGTGAGTTGACCGGCTGGATGGAGGAGGAATTGGCTGGGGCCTCCAGGATGCATTGGCTGAATGGATCGAGGGCAGGTGGATGGGTGCACCTGGTGGAGACGATGTCGTGCCCTCTTGATATAGAATTGCTGGCTCGGATGGTGTTTTGACCCGTGGACTGTTGCATAAATCACCTAAAGTTATTTGTTTCGCTTGTACTATTTGCAACCACCAACTAAGGGATTCTACTTAAATTTGTTTTGCAACCGTCCACTGGTTGTTGGGGTGATACCGAGTTGGGATGTTGGAACGGGACGATGCTAGAGCTCTTGAGCTTGCTTAGTCCCGGGCTGTGCTGCGGTGTTGCTATCTCCTATGTTTTCCCGACCATCACAACTTCCCCATTTACATCGGTATCAATTGTAAAGGGGTCGTGATATGCCACTGCATTTAGACGCTATTGACATCCAAATTGTTGAGATGGATGCCCATGGCCTGGTGTACCAGCTCATGGAGATGAGGTCCAGTCTGTAAAGTTTTGACCCCTAAACCACCATCGACCTGGTGAAATGCTGCCGAGTCCATATCCTCCCTCCACGCCCGCCTGCTGCCACGAGAAGATCACCTTCGCTCCTGGAGGTTGGAGTTGACGGGGATCAACAACCGTGGCCTGCTCACAGACCCTGCCGACAAACCGGGACACTTTTTTTTCCAATGAGCTACCAAGTCGTGTGCTAGACCAGCGCCGCGGAGAGCCAGGTTTTTCCACTGCAGAAGATAAGCTCTGCGGCTCGCGTAAATGATAAGAGGAGTCGCACATCGTGTGCATGATGAAAATGATCAACTCTGTGCTTGTGTGGTCCCGACCCAGATGTCTTCTGAGGCCAGCGTATCAGGGGTATGTCCTGGAAAATATCCAGTGGAAAACCAGAATCCTGTGCGGGTCCTGTGCCGGGTATGGCTTCTCGCTATCGATTTTACCCAAGGTGGATAAACATGAATGGGAATGATTCTGTGTGGCCATTAGATTTAAATTTTGTGGGAACTGTTTGGAAACATCGCACGATACACTGTTGGCCATATCAATACATCGGTACCACTAAAATACCTGGTTTGGGGCCATGGGTGAATAACAGTACAAGGCAGTGGGAGACTTTTTTGGAGTACATTGGGGAATTTTGTGTTGGCTTTGGAATTTACTGTTTTATGTTGATGCATTAGGGTTTGCTTGATTGTGAAAACCTTTTTATAAGTTGCTTAGTATAAATAAAAAGCTATTTCGTAATTGGATATATTTTGTCTTGTGGCTATGTGTTGTGTACAGTACAGAGGTTGCACAAACACCTTGTGCATTTAGTACCTTGGCATTTAAGTAACGTTTCGATGTGTATGTAATCCATGTCGGGTTTGTCGCTCATCTGTGTTGTGATGACGCAGAAGTTGGTAACCTATGAACCCAGCAACCCTAGATCAGTTCGCAGTCACGGCTAATGTCAGTGGCGAATGATCTCTGACCTGGGTCTTCTCCCACCCCCTTCTGCAGCAACCCACACGGCTGTAAAATAGATATAGTGCAGCCTACTCCCCTTTCCATTATTGTCCTTCCCCCGCACCTCTGATTAGCACAGTTGGCTACGTACGGTGCGAAAGAAGTTCATTTCAGTAGCCGTAATTTATGGGTCATGATTCATGGATCAATTATTTTATTTCCACTGAATGGCTAATCCATGAATTCAAACCTGCTTAAATTTGGATAAGGGAAAATACGAGATAAAAGTTGGTAATTCTGCAAACTTTATTTAGCATGAGGGTTGTCTCAGCCATAATTTATAACTGATACCTTGCCTGCCATGCAGTAACATCGAGACGCCAGGACAAAGGGGTCTTTGAGTTAATTAGGAAGGAAATGATTGCAGACATACAACGTTCAAAAATGATATGGCATGGCCCATATACACTATGAAGAATAAACTAAATCGAACAGCTAAGTGCACTCGAGAGTAGTGTTTTTTTACCTGCTTCATTTAAGTTATACACCATCTGAAACTGTATTTTATTTCGCTTTAAATTCATGAAATTCTGTATGTATATGTTTGGGTAAGGTGTTCCATACCTTTGGTGCCAATGAAAACACCTTTCCAGGTCATTTAAATTACTGTAATTTGTTTTATACTGTACTACATACCACCACTCAACCCTATATGAACCCACTGGGGGTAACATCCCTACTTGTTAACACCCCAGTTGGATTCCGGTTACAGAGGATGGTTCACTTGTATAAGGGGAAAAGCAGCGCGTGGCTTGTAATATGACTGTAAAATCAACCAATATATCACATTATTCATCGCGACAAGCTTAGGCAATGTGCCACGTCTACAAAGTTCAAGTCGCAAATATGTTTTCGTTTACCCAGAATATGTAGCTATGAATCAATGTTATCAGCACCTCTGTAATCAACCACCATGATGACATTTACATCATGAGAGTCACTAGAGAACAACCAATCACAAAGGTGACATTGCATGCAAAAAAACTCCACATTCATCAATGACACTGCTCTTACAGTTGACGATTTGGGCAAATTGCTCTTCTCTGCTGAATGGAAACTGCCTGAATCGTCACATTATATAATCGTTCCTCTAGGGCAGTGCTATTCAGTGTATTGAGTTTTTGTTATTTATGTTTGTGCACCACGACTGCCAACGGAGCACCACATATTTGGTGCATAACAAAAATACGGCAATTACATTACTGTATGTACTTCAGTGTAGAAAAAGTGAATACAGTATAACCTTAAAACTGTTTGCACAAATTGGAAGAGTCCAGTTTTCGCGTCTCCCAAAGCTTCAAATTTTAAGGGTTTTTACCATACTGTCCCGATGCTGCTGACCCATTAGCGGCCTATAACACTCGATATGCATTGTGGTTGCCCATCCAAGCTCAAACCTGCTTAGCTTCCGATATTTTTAAGACATCGGGAGCATCCCGGATGGTTTGGTCAACAAGGCAATGATGGAGTACAGTATATATGTACTCTTTATATGAGCTTTATAGCTCATCGGATTCCTCCAGTACAAATATTCTTATTCTGTTTATCATTCGTTTAAGCGGATGGTGTCTTGTGGAGGGGGTCTCAGTGGAGGGCGATCAGGAGACAGGAGCGAGTGGTAAGTTGTATTTGGTGTCCGCAAGGAGTGACTTGCTGACAGTCACATGCGCTCATTCAACATGCAAACCCAGAGAATTCAAGACTTTTAACAGACTTGGGGCAAGTGCTGTTAGCCAGCACCTGAGGTGCTCGCCAACGAAGGCTAGCGCCTATGAAGATCCTCGCTAACACGAGGGGGTGGGTGACCAGCACCACGCCCGGCCGCCTTTGTCTCCCCAGTGGCGATGTTTACACACCGCACCAAGTACTGATTTGAGGCTGAGTCGACCTAGGGGGAAGGCCGGTGTTGGCCGTGAGCAGGAATCGAACTCGGGTCGCCGGGTTCGTAGCGCAGCGCGCTAACCGCTACACTACCGCTCCCAGATAATCCGCACATACTACACACACACTACACACACACAATCATCCCCATCACAGCCACCGCACACACCCCATCAAGTGAACAACGAACCCCAACTACCAGTGAAGAAGGTACACCCTGACAGAATACACCACTACCACAGTCGTACCGGCAACACGATCGTCACACCACTATCACGAGCAGCCGCACTAACAGAACACACACTCATATCTCTGCACACCACATTATACATCGCCATATAACACCACCACAATCATTACACCACAATGATCACACCACCGTAACCGCATCACCACGATCATCACTATACACCATCAACTACAATGATCACTCCACCGTAACTACAAGCATCACATCAACACCATCACAATCACCACCACCACGATCATCGCTATACACCACCACCACTACCACAATTATCACTCCACCGTAACTGAAATTATCACGTCACCAACACAATCATCATTACACCACCACAATGATCACACCACCACAATGATAACAACCGCATTACCACCACCACAACCACATCACCACCACCAGGAGCATCGCTGTACACAATCACCACAATGATCACGCCACCGTAACTACAATCATCACATCACCACCACCACAATCATAATTACACCACCACAATGATCACACAACCGCATTTCCACCACAACCACATCCCCACCACCACCACTTCACCACAACCGCACCACCACCACATCACCACAACCGCATCCCCACCACCACCACAACCGCACCACCACCACATCACCACAACCACCACATCACCACCACAACCACATCACCACAACCGCACCACCACCAGATCACCACAGCCACCACAACCAGATCACCACAACCACAACCACCACAACCACATCACCACAACCACCACAACCACATCACCACAACCGCACCACCACCACCACCACGAGCATGAGCATCCCTCCACACGCGCTGCTGCTGCTGCTGCCGTGGCCGCAGCGGCAGCGGCGGCGGCGCGCTGTGTACAGGTGACGTCACTCCCAGCAGTCCCCGCCACAATGGCGCTCCGAGCGGCCGCGGAGAGATGCAGGAGGCGGCGGTGAAAATTTGAAATAAATTTTGCAAAAATCGGGCGCGCGTCGCAGCGCGTCGCGGACGCCGGCGGGCGGCATGCGGGCGCCCCGAGGGTAAGTTAGCGCGCACACGGGCCGCCGAGTCGTGACGTAAACCGGTTTAAAATCCCGCCGAAAAAGTGCGCTTGTGTGTAGTGTGAGAGAGCGAGAGTGTGAGAGAGAGAGGGGAGGGGGAGAGAGGGGAGGGAGAGAGCTGAGCGCACAAAGTTTCTTTACTCCTCCTCTCTCTCGCTGCTGCTGCTGCTGCTCCCCGGGTGAGGGGAGGGAGAGGGCGCGCGCGCGCCTCCCCCTCCCCTCACCAGCCCCTCCCCTCACCAGCCCCTCCCCTTAACTCTTCCCATCACTTTTGCTTATCGCCCGTCAACTTTCTCAGCTCGTCACCCCCCCCACCCACCCCTCATCTCCTCAGCCCCTCTCCCCCAATCAGCCCCCCCTCCTCAGCCCCTCCCCTCACTTTTCACTCTCCTCCTCCCCCCCCTCCGCTCCTCCGCTCCTCTTTCCTCAGCCATCCCCTCACTCCCCCCGCCCTCCTTCCCCTCTATCTCAAAGTCACCCCTCCCCTCAGCTCATCTCGAGCCCCCCCCCCACACACACAACTCTCGCGCCCCCCCCCATAACTCTCGCCCCCACACAACTCTCGCGCCCCCCCCCCCCCATAACTCTCGCGCCCCCCCCACAACTCTCGCCCCCACACAACTCTCGCGCCCCCCCCCCCACAACTCTCGCGCCCCCCCCCACAACTCTCGCCCCCACACAACTCTCGCGCCCCCCCCCCACAACTCTCGCGCCCCCCCCCACAACTCTCGCGCGCGCCCCCCCCCCCCCCCTTCAACTGTTACGCTCCCACTGTCGTTTCTGCTCTCACTGACGCGCGCGCTCTCTCCCATCGCCTCCACGCTCCACGATCTCTCGTCTCTCTGCCCCCTCTCCTCCCTCCACGCTCTCTCCTCTCGTCGGGAACTCTCCCCGCGCGCTCTCCCCGCGCGTGCGTGGTCGATGGCGAGAGCGAGCAGCAGGAGGAGGAGGGGGGCAGCGAGGAGGAGCAACAGCAGCAGCGCTCGCTCGCTCGGTCGCTCTCGCTGGCAGTCTGTTATGTATTTCGTTATTTGTTTTTAAGTTGTTTTTTTCACTCGGACTTTTAAAGTTTCGCGTGATTTTTTTTGTTACGCGTGCGCACGTTTTTGTTGCCTCGTTGTTTTTGCTTCGGAGAGAGAGAAAAACACCAAAATGACTTTTTTTTTATTTTGAAGCAAAAAATAAAATTTTAAACAAAAAATATTTTTTTAAAAATTGAGCGTCGCCGAGAGCGCAGTTGTGAGCAACTTTAGTTGATTGCGATCCTTCGTTAGTGCGCTTGCGTCTCTCGATTGGTTGATTATCAGTCGCTTAATTGGTTTTTTTTATTGGTTAATTGGTTGGTCGGCGCGTGATGGCGGAGCCGAGAGTCGTCAGTTTCCCCGAAGTCCGTGCCTAGTGACGGCGACTCGAGGTTTGTGTTCATGGTGCTGTGTTCATGCGAGATAATGTGGTCTGTAATTCATGTCGCGTGATTTCTGTTCACGTAATGATAGTTGCGTAATGTGTATTTCTTAAATTGTTCACGTGAAGGCACGTGTGTGATGGTTGTTCACGTGAAGGTATGTGTGTGATGTTTGTTCACGTGAAGGTGGTACGTGTGTGATGTTTGTTCACGTGAATGTACGCGTGTGATGGTTGTTCACGTGAAGGCACGTGTGTGATGGTTGTTCACGTGAAGGTGGTACGTGTGTGATGGTTGTTCATGTGAAGGTGGTACGCGTGTGATGGTTGTTCACGTGAAGGTGTGTGTGATGTTTGTTCACGTGAAGGTGGTTGTTTCACGTGAAGGTGGTACGCGTGTGATGGTTGTTTCACGTGAAGGTACGTGTGTGATGGTTGTTCACGTGAAGTGTGTGTGATGTTTGTTCACGTAAAGGTGGTTGTTTCACGTGAAGGTACGTGTGTGATGGTTGTTCACGTGTGTGATGGTTGTTCACGTAAAGGTGTGTGTGTGTGATGTTTGTTCACGTGTGTGATGGTTGTTCACGTGAAGGTGTGTGTGTGTGATGTTTGTTCACGTGAAGGTGGTACGTGTGTGATGGTTGTTCACGTGAAGGTGGTTGTTTCACGTGAAGGTACGTGTGTGATGTTTGTTCACGTGTGTGATGGTTGTTTCACGTGAAGGTGTGTGTGATGGTTGTTCACGTGTGTGATGGTTGTTTACGTGAAGGTACGTGTGTGATGGTTGTTCACGTGAAGATGTTTGTTCACGTGAAGGTGGTACGTGTGTGATGGTTGTTCATGTGAAGGTACGCGTGTGATGGTTGTTCACGTGAAGGTGTGTGTGATGGTTGTTCACGTGAAGGTACGCGTGTGATGGTTGTTCACGTGAAGGTACGTGTGTGTGTGGTCAGGGGGAAAGATACGTGTGTGTGTAATGTGTGTTCATTTGGTGATATGGTTCACGTTAAGGCACGTGCTGTTCATGATCGATGATTTAAGTAATGCGTCGTGTACGTTTAATGTGACGTGTTCATGTGAGGAAGTGGTACGAGTGTTCACGTGATGGCGACGCGTATGTTTGTAAAGGCATGTGTTCACGCGAAGGTATGCGTGTGTGTGATTATTCACGTGAAGTAACGCGTGTGTGTGTGAGAAAGATGATGTGTCACTGATGTGTGATATATATATTTAAGAGATGAAAGTGGTCATGTAAAGGTGTCTTTTTGATGAATGCTCACGTGAAGATGCGTGTAATGTGTGTGCACGTGGAAGGCATGCGAGTGAGTGTGTGTTTTGTTGACGTGGAGATGTCATGTTTGTGGCCTTTGATCCAGAGTTCAGCGATGTGCGATCGTGGCGGGTTTAGATTACCCGTGGTCACGCTGAAATCTTATTTATTCCATTCTTTTATCTATATTTTTTATACATACACATACTCATCAGCTGATTGAATTTTCGTGATCAGACAGTTATTGTAATATAATGCACTCCATTTGTATGTAAGTTGTAGTGCCAATTACTTTGAGGCATTTCACATGTGGTGGATATAGTGGGCCACAATTTTCTATCTTTTAACTATGGTAAATTATGCAAAAGTCACTGAAAAGAGATTCACAGTATTGAGTTGCGCTTGCAAAGTGTGCTCAAGTTTGTTATTTTCGTTTAAAAAGTACACAATATTTAAAATTCGTTTTATTTGTATTAAATCCTTGTTATCTAACGCCTACGAGTTACTCCGAAAACTGCACTTATAACAAATAGAATAAAACATTCAATTAAAATTTATTTAAATATTAAAGTATAATTTTTTTTACCAGGATTTGCCAAACTTTTTTTCAATAATTAAATATTCCAGCAAAGGTGTGTATGTAGCAGCTCTTTTGTCTAACATTATCATGTATACACAACACAATGGATTTTAATTCATAGAAAGCTAAACCACAAAGCACTAGTATTTGTCTCAGAATAACTGTGGGCTGATCACTGCAAGGTAAGGCTCAATTTAAGTTTACAGCATAAAAGGGGAAAAGCAGAGTTTTTTACTGAAAAAAATTGCTGAAATTTAATATTTTATTCAGCTACTGTATTGTATGTAAATTATGATGCCTTTAAATATAACATTTAGTATATAATATAGTTTTACTCATTGTGATATTTACCATTTGTTAATTTCATTTAAGATGTTTTGTTTAAGTTAGAAGTGTTCTGCTCATTTTTTTCTTATTTTTTAAAATCCATTATTACCAAAGTCTGTTTTGAAATACTATAGTATGGTAATATGTTTAAAGTGTAATATATTTTAGATAATATTGAGGCCCTCTTTAAATGTTACAGCAATGTTATTTAGCTCTCATGCACACATTTCTTGTAACAAGAGATTCTCAGTGAATTCATAACTTACATTAATTTGTTTTCGTCGAGTTGTGTATGTATCCGGATGCATCTGCATATCATTTCACTTGGCAGTAGCACTCGGTCCGCAAATCAAAAATGAAAATAAAACAATATTCTGAACACTCACACCATCAGAGAATTGAAATAGTTTATATAATAAGCCCCAACCAATCACATCCAGAAATGTTATGAAATAGCTTATGATCACTAAGTTACAATTGGAGCTTGTAAAGTTTTCACCTATTGGTCTGGATTGAGCAATCAGTTCAGGCCAAAATGATTTCCCAATGTTCAAATGAATTTCGAGAATTTTTCTGACTTACCATAATAAAATATATATTTAAGCACCTATCAAGTCCATGAAATAGGGAATCGATCACTCCCTTGCCCTTGGACCACTTAAGAGTTACCCACTGATCTGAATTGATGAGTAAGGTACATCATGTGTGGCGGTGATGGTGGGTAGCATTTGTCCTGGTGTGTACAACATTTGTTTATGGTGTCAGCTGTGCTATTCAACATTTATCGTGATCAAAAAGTTCGGCACTTAAGTTATTCCAAAGACAAAATACTGTAAGGGGAATACTAAAACGGCAAAATGTGTATTATATTATTGATTGCAACAATACAATTGATATATAAAGACGAAGAACGTTTAAATGCATTGATTGCACACCTGTTATATAACCACATAATTCCTCTGTAAAATATATGTAACTATACAGCAAATTAAATTATTAACCGATTGAAGCAATACAACAATCAAAATAGTACAGACCAGAACCAACAACTTTCACTGCTGAGCACATCTTAACTTGCGCATTGCCTTTGAATTCGATTTGTTTTACATAACCAAGGAATCATTGCTGCTGCTATCCTTGTGTTTGGCCGTGTTTGAATAGCAAACATTGTACGTCTAAAATCGTGGTTATTTATCCACGAGATAGCTGGCAGTTACTTCATCATTTAAAATAAGGGGTCATACAAATGTACCTCTTACTGGTTTGTTGGCCACTGCACGCTCAGTCAGATTATATACAATGCTGTTTGTATCATAACATGACGCCAGACCCTACTGCTTCCAGCTGTCCTCTTGTGTGCCGAGAAATAATAATGTACAGTTTTTTGTAAAGCGCCTTTCACTAATGTCTCTAAGATTGGCCATTATTTGTTAGGCGTTGTAAATGTTCTGTAAAATCTGAACTCCTACCATAGAAACTTCTAATAACGATGCAAAATAAAGCAGGAACACCTCAGTGAGTCTCAGTATGCTTTTTACAGGTGGTTCCAGCATTGGAATATGTCTGATTTCATTCGTGAGTGTTTTTGCACGTAGCAGTAAATACTGAAGTATCCAGAGAAAACAACATGCAAAACATTGCACAGATATACTCATCCATTTGCTGTACTGCCATCAGTAATAGCTTGTGTGTGTGTGCTAAAGGAATGCATAGTGTAGAGTCACTGCAACAAAGCAAACCATGAATGTAAAAATTTGGGAACAAAGCAGCTTTATAGTGGAGGCTTGTGGAAAGAACACAATATTCATTTGACCTTCATCTCAGTTTATTTCAAAGAACTTCACAAAGAAAAATATGTTTGCTAAATTAAAGAATTTCTGATACCAGCAGCAATATTAAATAGCCGCAGCCTTTAGCCCCAAAGTAATGGTTGGACCAATCAGGGCACAGGGAAAAAGGGAACTTTACGGAAACGGGAGCCAAAATTCTGACTGGGAAATGTGCCAAGCTTTCACGTGCTGCAATGTTTACCACGAACTACAGTAAAAAAAAAATCCATCAGCATCCGAAACACTGCGACGTGGGGAATACGAGTGTGTGCGTTCTGCACAGGCATGGCGAGCAGAAGTGGCGTGGTTAAGTGCATTGCGCTACGAACGCTCTGACCCCCCCCCCTCGTTTGATTCCCACTTATGGCAGGAATCAATGACAAATATCTGAACAGGCAGTCCTGGGTCTCACTAGATCGATGGCTCACCCTTAAAGATTGCTTGGTGCAGTGTTTAAACATCAGCATTGGAGAGGCACAGGTGGCTGGGCCTAGTGCTGGCCACCACCCCCTTGTGTGCCAGCCTGGCCTTCATAGGTGCTCGCTAACAGCACCTGCCCCAACGTAGATATCGTCCTCATTGAAAAGTACAAATCCAAAACAATCAGATCACAAATATTGCCTTTGACTAAATAACCCAGAACTTCGATTTCTAAGTTTTGTTGCCGTTCGAAAAACTAGTAGCTTATCTCCGCAATATTTTTGCGACTTTTTTAAAAGTTCCGTAAATTTTTTGTAAATTTGAAAATTGTTGTTTATCGTGACAGACGTTGTTGAGTAGTGGTGTTCAGGAATTATTATTGTTCAGAATATGAAAAAGAAAAACTTGTGTTGTCCCTGTTGGACGGCACGATGAACACAGTCTATGATACATGTGGCTCGCAGGTGACCTGCATGAGAAGCTAAATCGTGGGCCATTAAAGCTACACTTGGACACTTTAAAACGTAACTGTGATCCCTTCCTGCCCTATATTTATAGGACGTATATATTTTAAATTGCAGTGG